ATAGCGCCGTGCCTGGCACACAGAAGGTCTTCACCGAATGGCAGTTCTCACCATTCCCACAGCCATACTCAGACCACAGGAAATTTGCAGACATTCAAATTGGAGAGTTAGGGGAGAAGGTTGTATTTTGCCTTTTATACCCAACCACAGTGTTTCTTCCTCTTCTGACTCACCATCCCCTGAAGGATACCTGCTTCTTCCTGTGTTTTCTTTGACACAAGTGTCACCATGCTTCTCCTGCTGCTAGGATGCCTCACCAAACCCCTACCCTCTCCACAGGCAGAAGTGTTTTCAATCTGCTGGACGCTGGAACTGAATATCATAGCATTTCCTGCTGATGCCAACTCCTGTTGATTCTTCATGCTTCCCCAGGAAAAAAAATGTATGCTTCCAAAGGGACTGGATGCCACCAGTGTGTTGGATGATGAGATTAGGGAATAACAAACCAGTTGCCTGTCACTGAGGAAGAAATCCTTTCTGTACAAAATGAGATTGGCAGGCCTGAGGGCTCTGGGGGCGGGTGCGATGGTTCTGGGAGAATTGTTGGCACTATTCTCACCAACCCAGCTGTTTGGAATGGAAAAGGGAAGAGGGGAAGACCCACGAGAGAAAGCAGAATTTTCAAGATGGTCTGTGTTCTCAGTCTACACACAAGTGGCCAGGGCAGGGAATAGCCAATATAAAAAGAAATGAATGAATAAACGGATTTAAGCTGGTGGTTTTAAAGTCTCTCAGGAATGGAATTTGTGGGCTAAAAGGCACTGAAGGAAGCCAGCTTTCTGGCCTGGCTTGCTGCCCCGAGAGGGCCTCACCTCGCTTTCTGGAATGAAATTGTTCCCAGCTAGAGAGCTTTGGTGTTAGGGCCAGAGCCCAGCCAGAGGTTGTCTTCATACTCCAGGCTGCAGTTAAACACCGCCTGCCCCCAGCACTGCCAACCAAGGGAACACTGGGACCACTCCCAGCGTGGGGGCGGTAACTAGAGTGTCGCCATGCCATTGATTGTGAGTGTCGCCATGCCATTGATTGTGGTGAAGGTAGCCCATCATGAAGAGTGACACTCTTTGATGGCTTTCTCTGGCCTACGACTTGCAATTGTTGTGCAAAAAGATAAAGATTTCATCTATAGGCTTCACAAAACTAGGCAAAGGTCGTCTTTGCATCATTTTCTAAAACTAAGTATGATTTTTATTTAAAGTCTCCATGTAGTTTTTTAATTTTTAAAATGACTGAAACTCATTACTGATTAGAAATATTCATTTTTATATATATATATATATATATAAAATGAATCTTCAAACAGCTAAAAAAGTAGAAAATGCACAGAAAGGGAAAATCAGAAGTAGAAACTTTATTTTTCTAAACTTGAACTCATTTAGTTTGTTGGCAAGTTGTTGTTTTTAAATAGTTGCATCAAACCAATTATACTGTTCTGTAACTTAAAGAAAATATCCTTCACTACCACCTTGATTGCTGTAACAGGAGGGCTTGTAGTACTTGCTGCAGAAGATCAACTACAACTTTCAATATAGATTGCATCTCAACATAAAAATTCTTACCACCACAGTAATAGCCAGCAAAGAGAGAAAAGATTGAGATTGTTAATTATTTCATCTTGCTTAGATCCACATCACTGAGGAAATCACCCTTAGTACCAGCAGTGAAGAAAAGAAAAAACGAGTTGCACTAGGAAAATCTTCTGTCAAGGGATTCTTCAGAGTGATAAAGAGCAACAGTGTTACTCTAAAGACTAAGGTGTGCCTGATCCAAGTTCTAGTCCTCTCAATTGCTTGCCATGCATCTGAGAGCTAGATAATAACTAAAGATTACAAAAGAAGAATTGATGCCTTGGAGTTGTGATGTTGGAGAAGAGTATTGAACAACATACCATAGACTGCCAAGAGAACAAACTATTTACGTCTACTTTGCCATTTCACCTACTCTGGGAGGTGAAAGTTGGTTCTTGGAACATGTCAAATTTGGCCCGACAGAGAACAGGAGAAAGCATTTGCCAGATTAAAGAAGCAACCAGTTAGAAACTATAGTCTCTGAGAGATGGGAGAAGTCCAGTTGGCCTGGGCAGTGTAGTGTGAGTGGGAGGGTTCAACAGGAGGTGAACAGAGGGCTGTGGAGCTGTTATGTCAGCCTGTATTTGCCAGATTCTGCTAGATAATAGGAAATCTTTTCCACCTGACTATGAAGGAACAAGTGGCCAGGTTGTAAGGAGCTATGCTACCAACCCAAAGGCATGTGGTTCGAATCTACTAACTGCTACACACACACACACACACACACACACACACACACACGTAACTAGGGAGCCCTGGTGGTGGTGTAGTCACTATGTAGGGAGTTGTTCAATTCAAGGTTGTCTTTCTGCCTTTTCTAACCTACCCACAGTGGTCTCCACCCGTGCTGTTTACAGCCTCGAAGAACTGAAGGGTCAGCTGTGAGTCGGTTCTGACTCCACAGCAATGAGTGTATATTTTGAATAGTAAACTGGTAAATAATACCAACTACAACCAAGACTTTACCTTGCTCTCAAGCTTACATTTAAAATTGCAGGAGATGGAAGGGCAGTCTCCTGTGCAATTAACTGACTCTGAAAACCCACTGAAGGGTCAGCGATGGGTCGATTCTGACTCCACGGCACACCACCACCACCACCACCACCACAAGGCATCGTCATATACAGTCTTTATGAGAGTTTGTACACAGTTCTCATCACCTCGGAGAAAGATTTCAAGTCTCGTCTGGCGTTCTTTTGGTAGCATCATCTTTAGGGAGTTGGACTAACCCAGAAGTGGTGTCTGCCTCTTAGCAGTTCAACTCTTCGGGTGGCTCCACAGGAGAAAGAAGGAGGATTGATCACTTCTGCGATTTTTAGCCTTGGAAACCCGCTGGAGGGTCAGCTATCAGTCGGTTCATGTAGACAGCAGTGAGAGAGAGGGTTTGGTGTTCCGAAGCGACCTATCTGTATTGCAGCATCCTTTGTTCTGCCGTGGCAAACAGGGCCTTCAAGAGACCCTGGCTGAACTTAGTCCACTGCCCGGGAGAGAAGGGCGTGTGTTTGGCCCTGCTAGATGCGAAGACGAGTGTCAGAGCTTGTGCTGATCAGGAAGGCCCTGGAACCCAGTATTCCCTCCTCTTTTTTGTGGTTTGTATTAGGGTTGTCCCCCTCCACCCCCAACCAAGTTGTTAACTTGCTCACTGGTGCCACCCAATGGTAAGATATGGGCTTTCTTAAGTCCCAAATTGTTTCTTCACTGGCTCACTGGTGCCACCCAATGGTAAGATCTGGACTTTGATGACTCCTATTGAACAGTGCTTAGGTGGTGACCCATCTTTTCACTATCATTTCACTGGTTCTTTCCAGATGGGAATTTTAAGAACATGCTAGTAAAGTTTTGGTTTTCTCTTGTTTGTTTTTAAAATTATTTTTAAAATGTTTTACATACAAAGTTCATATGCACAGATTTCACATGGAATCTTTCCCCTTTCCCTTATAGTATGCTGAGGAGACCACAGGCCCTGGATCTTTTAGACTAATCCAGTATTCTTCAGTAAATCCCATCTGTTCTTCTGAAACATAGTTTCTCTCTCTCTCTCTCTCTCTGTTTTTTGTTTTTAAATTTTATTATTATTTGTGTGCGTGTACCATCAAATCTGATCTGACTGGAACAGGAGGAGATTGTCCCTCCTTCTCCAGCAGAACATCTGGTGGATTTGAACCATGCACCTCTGGGATTTCAGTGCAGCTTCCTGCCACTAGGCCACCAGAGCACCTGGCTAGATAGTCTTCATTTCCACTAAGAAATGGTTTCCTGTTTTCTTGAGTGGTGCCCAGGTATGCTACCCTTCTGTCCCCCTGCCTTTCATGTAAATGTAGGTAGAGAGAAATGATGCCCTAAGAAATACACATGTGTAATATACCGAGTGGAATACAGAGTGGAAATACCACTATGGAAGGCTGTATGGCGCTTTCTCAAAAAGTTGCAAATAGAAATACCATTTGACCCAGCAATTCCACATCTTGGAATTTACCCTAAAGAAACCACAACTGCCACCCAAACATATATATGCACACCCATGCGTATTGTAGCTTTGTTTGCAATAGCAAAGAGCTGGAAATGGCCCAAGTGCCCATCAACAAATGATAGAGAAGCTCTGGTATATTCACACAATGGAATACTATGCAGCATTGAAAAACAAGGAACTGATGAAATAATTATTCAAAATGGATGACCCTGGAGGACATTATGCCGAGTGAAATATCTCAGTCACAAAAGGACAAATACTGCATAGTGCCACTGTTATAAAACAGGACTGACATCAGGGTTGAGGGAAGACAGAAAAGGAGGGGAGGCATGATGTATATTGCATTGAAACAGATGAGGAAGAGAACTGTTTAAAAGGGACATATGAGTGGGTATTTTTGTCATTATAGAAGTCCAGAGTGAAGGCTACACAGTGGAGTGGACTTGGGGGGAGGAATTGTATAAAAAGGAAAGAATTTTTCTTTTCAAGAAGAGTGAATTGGTGGGGAGAGGGTGGGTAGGGAGAAAAGTGCAACCATGAATGACTAGAAACCCTAAGTCTCCGTAAACTTTCATTAAGATTAAAATAAAAAAAAAAAGAAAAAAAAAAAGAAATACAGATGGCCTTGCCCATGAGAATGTGTAAACGGTACATGTGATAGTTGGGCGTAGCTTGTCCTGTATTGTCCATCTCCAGGTGACAAGCTTTCCTCAACGCAGCTGCTCGGTGCTTCTACATCGTGCAGTTTTTCAGAAAAAGCCAGATGTTTGCAGGGTTTTTTCCCCATCAAGCAGTCAAATTTTAAAACCTTGCCTTCGTGTGAAACATGCAGACTTGCCGGCTGAACCCACCTGTGTGCTGAAGTCGTCACACTTTACGCCTCTTGTTTAAGAGCCACCCCGCTCCTCCTACGCAATGGCCCCGCAGAGAGTCCCTCCTAACATTCTTCTGCCCTTGTTTTCCAGAAGGAGATGACGAGCAGGATGTGTCACTGAGGCTCCAGCTCACGCTGGGAGGGAAGAGGAAGGCGGTCCCGTGGGGGAGGCCGGAGAGGGCAGGAGGCCAGGCGCGGTAGAGCTGGGGACCAGCGGTGACTCCCGAGTGGTGGCTCCCACTCACCTCGTGTGCTCCTAACCCTCTGAGTGCTGCTAGCCGAGACCTGTTCCGAAGGCCAGCCCGGCGTGGAGGCCAGCCAAGCACCTCCAGAACCCTCCTGACGGGGCTCCCCCAGGAGGAAGCAGCTGCAGTTCCCACGTGCACCTGTGACCTGCCGCCCCCTCTGTAATGGAATTCAGGTTTTGAGACTAAGATGCTGATCTGGGCTTTCCCACTATCTTATGGACTGGGTGTCTCTTCTGTAATTGGTTCGCTAAGTCCCTAATGAATTGGGAACTCTGGATGTGCAGCAAGGTTTTTTGTTACACATCTGCCTTGTTGTCTCTTCAAGCTCCTGTTGGGATCCTGTGGTTGAGAGGGTGCAGGACTGGGAGCTGTATCACCCTCAGCTCTAACATCATTTCCTTCAGGGCCACCAGGGACCACTCCACATCAGGGTGGGCCTTGCCCAAAACGTTAGTCACAGGGAAGATGCTGGTAACCTCGTGTCAGGCTGAGACGTTACCCAGTTCAGGTGAATGGGATGTGGTTTTTTTTTTTTATAACCACCTTTATTCCTTGTTCTTCTAGTTAAGATTTTTTTTTTTAACCCCTATTCCTCAGAGATTTAAAAACACAAGTTCCTAAGGAACAAGAGTGGTCTTGCAAGGCCTGAGCCTCATCAGTGTAGCGCTTTGTTCTAACACCGAGAGTCACAGAGATCTCTACCTAATGATAAAATGTGAGTGGAGGGTAGGGGAAGACAGACACCTGGTTATTTAGTGCATGTAGATCAAACAATCAGCCTGCCGGTTTGAGCTTTGAGCTTCTAACCCAGACGATGTGCCCTCGGCCCTTGCTGCCTCATCTGTGTTCCCCTGTGTAACAGACAGGCCTCTGCACAACAGTCATGCCACAGTCACTGACGTAGCAGCGGAACAGGAGCTCACATTCTTCTTCTCCCCTTGGTAAGCTCTCTATTCCACGCATTCTCAAAAGAAAGCCTTCTGTGCCCTCTCCTGCCTTTTGAAACCTCGGTGGACTTTTGATTGATGAAATGCTGCCTTCTCTATTTCATTCCCCAAATCGTGGTGGTCCTGACAGCCCATGATACGGGTGGTAATGCTTCAAGTGATGGCTTGAATTTAACCAGCTGTCAGTCGGTGGAGGGAAGTAGATTGGATTGTATTAGTGTTATTTTAATGTAATAACTATTAAAGAATAACTCAACGTGTCTGGTTGTGTTTTATTCTACATAATGAATTGAAGCCTTTTGTGGCTGCAAAGAGAGGCCTGGGAAAAGCATGAAACATTTGTCTACACAAAGAAAGGGTTGCCTGTGTGCATTGACCTAACTCAGCAGACCAGCCCTGGATGTGGATCTCAGAAAGACCATGACACTCTTTCTATGTTGATCAGCAACAAACAGGCTGTCTTTTTGGCTTTCTAAGTAACTCAGACTTAAAGTATAACTCTAAGTAATTTGAAGTTATAAGTAACTAAGTAATTCTGAGAGGTCAAGACAGGCAAAGATTTTTCTCAGCATCATTTCTGGCTTAAAGACTATTTGCCTGTTTTAAGGAGCCTGAGCACAGAGGACCGAGAAAGAGCCTTTAATATCCCAGGCTGTGCAACGCAATAGTGTCATGTGGGAAAGCAGGACAAGTGGGACAGAGAAATGGTGACACAGGTCCTTGGCCTCAGAGTTGCTCTGTACTGTACAAAACTAACCACAGTCTTTTGACATTAAAAAAAAAAATTGACTATTTCCCCACATTTCCATAAAGCTTTATCAGGTAGGAGGTTGACATCTGAAGACATTTGCTATTCATACTTTTTAAGGTTATTTTCTGTTAACTGTGTATATGACTTCCACATAATAGCTTTAAAAATCCTTTGGTTTTGTTTGGTTTTTAGTGCTGGGTGTTTTCCTCCTCCTCTGTTGCTAATTGCACTAATCAACTCTTCTAGGGTAGGTCACGGCAAACTGCCCCCACTTTTAATTACAGGGTATTCCTATCCTCACAGAACTTTGTTTGGCAAATTCTAAAGAAAATAGCTTCGGGCAGTTTTTCTCTGTACTGATTGTGTGATAGTTGCTGCCTCACTTCTCGGGGCTACTCTTAGCTCAGCTGAAATCAGTTTCAGCCCCATGCTCCTCTCTCCTGTCTTCTTCTACTCTCTGGGGAGAATTTTTGGGAGAATGCTGGAATTTCAGGGTTGAAAGAGTTACAGTGAACACCCTTTGCCTTAAATGCACCAGTTGTTAGCATCTCCTACATTTTCTCTTTCTCTGCATACATATATATTCTTATTGTTGACTCATTTGACAGTAAGTTTCAGACAAGATGAAACGTTGAAATAAATGCATCATGTTTCTCCTAAAAATAAGAACATTTTCCCACCCAACTGCAATCTTGTCATCCCCACAAGAAATGAACAACTATCTATCTCTACTTCATATAGATAAGGCATATGCAAATTTTCCAAAGTATTCCCCAAATTTTCTTGATACCTTTTATTAAAAAAAAAAAATCCAGGATGAAGTCAAGACTACATGATGCATTTAGTTGTCGATACTTTTACTTTCCTTTAATCGGAGTTATCCTGCTGTGTGTATGTGTGTCTTTCACAACCCTGGCATTATTAAAACAGTTCAGGTCAATGTGTCTGTACAATGTCTGCAATCTGTATTTACTTTTCTTGACTGATTCTTCATGATTAAATTCATATTAAAACCTTTTTGGGCATGTAAGTGATATTATTTTATTCTTTATCACATCAAGTATAGACTCATTGCTGTAAAGTAAGAACAAACCCATAGGTGGTCCCCCAGTGGATTTTCAGAGGCTATAAATTTCTTGACAGCACATTTCTCCCAAGGAGCAGCTGATGGATTCGAACCACGTATTAATGGGTGGACAACGTGACTTCCTACCCACTAGGCCCCCAGAAGGCCCTATATTACATCAAAGGGTACCTAAAGCCTACTTGTTTCTCTTTGTGATGTCAAGATTGAGCCATAGATCCAGGTATACTATACCTGCTCCATTCATTACTAATTTTCCTCCTTGACTTTAAAGCTCTGAGATCCAATACAATGTGATAGAGCATGAGAAGCTATGCATATGTTTACTCCTGCTCTGTTATTCTCAGGAAAGTCCAGGGTCTGCCACCCTCCCAAAATGAAAATCATTTAGATGAGAAAGCAGTGACAGAGGATTCCTCCTACCTTTCTGTTCTGTAAAGAGGAAACGGAGCAGCAAGATTCCGTGTATGAGCAAGACAGAAGCCTGCTATCAGGAGAACTGCCCTGTCCCTGGAATCAGACTTGAAACATAAATGATCCTTTTTAAAATCTCAGGCTCCCAGTCCTCAGTGATCTGACCTTCAGATCCCTGGGTTTTTTTTAATTGAAGGCATGCATTCTCAGTGGGGTAATTGACCCAGGGGGCAAGAATTGGATCTTGGGAAACCTGTTTATTTTAAAAAATCTTAGATATAAACAATGATTGGTGGTCCTCTATATGGATTACATCTCAACATCAAGAAAACAAAGGATCTTACCATTGCACCTCATCAGAGATGCAGGAAAGATTGAAACTGTCAAGTATTTCATCTTACGCAGATACAGTCTACACCCTTGGTGCCAGCAGTCAGGAGATAAGGAAACACATTGCTTGGGCAAGTTCACTGTCAAGGGCCTCTCCAAATTACTGAGGGGCACAAATGTCAGTTTGAAGACTAATGTGCACCTAATTCAAGCCATGATCTCTTCCATCACTTGCTTTGCATGTGAGAGGTGGGTAGTTATTAATGATGACTGAAGAAGAATTGATGCCTTTGAGTTTTAGTATTGGAAAAAATCCTGCCAACCCCTGACCTGCCAAAAGAATATGCCTCGGATAGGGTACAGCCACAGTGCTCTTTGAAGGTAAGCGTGATGACGCTGCATCTCTCATGGACATATTGCTGGGAGAGGCTGGTCCATGGAAAGGGATGTTATGTTTGGAAAGGTGAAAGGTCCACGACAGAGAAATACATCCCCCCACGAGATTAATATCATGACTGTAGCAGTGGACACTAGTGTATCCAAGATGATGAGGTGGCACAGGAAAGGACAAGATGCAGGCCTGTTGTCCATGGATGGCGTCACTGAATTGTACTCAATGGGACCTAGCAACATGGGGCCACTACAATATTTATGTGGCGTTAAAGGAGCTCTGGTGGCCTGGGGGATAGAGAGTTGCACTGCCAACCCAAAGGCTGCCAGTCGAATCCACCAGCTGTTCCACCAGAGAAAGATGGGCAGTCTCCCATGCATTTTACAGCTTCTGGAAACCCACTGGAGGGTCAGCTAAGAATTGATGCCAACTCGACGCCAGTGAGGTTTTGAGGATGTGGTAATAAAAGTCCGTCGGAATTGAGCAGCTTGAGGGGTGGAGTTGTAATAAAGTTTCTAAAACTCCAGATCCACTGCCACTGAGTTGATTCTAAGTCATAGCGACCCTAATAGGACAGAGTGAGACTGCCCCAGGAGACTTACAAGACAAAATCTTTGCAGAACCAGACTGTCATCATTCTCCCGTGAAGTAACTGGTGGTTTCATCACACGGCACCACCAGTTGTTTGTTGTTGTTTAACGCCGTCGAGTCGTAGACGACTCATAGCGACCCTATGAACGAACAGCCTGAGCACTGTTCGTACATAGAGTTTCCGGAGGCAAGCCATTTTGGAAGTGGATGCCGCTCCTGCTTCGAGGCTTGATTTAGTCGGGAAGCTCCAGCCAACACTGTCCATCATGGGCACCCATTACCACGATTGGCACATCACTGTCACAGGCTTCAGCATCACAGCAACCATGAGTTACCTCTGTACAGCAACGCAAAGACCACCACCAGAGCAGATTAAAAAGATTTCTCAGGAATCCATATGGGAATAAAGAATACATGGAACAATATTGAGTCTAGAGTCACTTTC